GGGGGAAGCCGGGGGAATGTCAAGTGGGGGGGAAGGAGACATGTGTAATAATCTTTGTAATACTTTAAGAAAAAAAATAAAATGTAAAAAAAGTAAGAAGGTCATCCAGATGCATAAATAAGTATTAGATAATACAGACTGTGAGATTTGAGGAAGAATTTTGAATTAAAACATCTAAATAGAGAAAAGATTGAATATCACATATTTAAAATGTAGACTACCATGTAGCAAAGTTTTAAAATTTTATTAAAAAAATTAGTAATAACAGGGGAAATGTTTATAATAAAAGTAGGGGCCCAGTGCACGAATTTGTGCACCTGGAAAAGAACTGTGGGCCACGAGGCTGCACTGGGCACAGGGGCAGATTTTGGCCCATCCTCCATGCCCCTACCCAGTCCCTCCCACCATGGCCCCCGGTCTCCTGTCTGCCGGCAGCCCCGCTTCCACCTCCGCCACTCCCATGCGCTGATGGTGCCAGCCCCACTCACACCCACTGATGGCGTAAAGCGATTGGGGCTGGTGCTGTCAGTGGGTGTGAGCGGCAGCTGCTGCTCTGATTGCCTCTTAGGAGCAGGGGGAGCTGAAGAAGCCCTTAGGGGTGAGCAGGGCTGGCAGCCGCCACTTGCATCTGCAGACGGCGCTGAGCAATTGGGACTGGTGCTGGGTGCCAGCAGCAGGTGCGAGCAGCAGCTCCAGCACCAGCTGCAGGTGCAAGCGGGGCCGTTGCTGGGAGTGGGTGCAAGAGGTGGCTGCTGGCCCCGATTGCCTCTCAGGAGCAGGGGGAGGTGGAGAAGCCCTGATGGGTGATTGGAGCCTGCAGCCACTGCTTGCACCTGCTGATGGCACTTTGCGATTGGGGCTGACGCTGTGCACCGGCAGTGGGTGTGAGCGCTGGGTGGGACCGCGGTGCATGGAAGCAAAGAATTTTCAGTAACCACCAGAGGTTCGTCCTGATTACAGCGACTGGTGCCCCCGCTCACCTGCTCCGCTATCCCGCCATGGCCGACACCCACCATGTTCTGTGCTCTACCGCCTTCTGCCAACACCCGCCATGTTCTGCTCATGCCCCCTGGTGGTCAGCACACATCATAGCAACCGGTTGTTCAGTTGTTCTGCCATGCCGTTTGGTCTATTTGCATATTAGCCTTTTATTATATAGGACCTGACTTTATGGTGAACTTGAGTCTGTTTTCTTAGAGATTTTATAGTATATTCAAGAGAAATTGTTATCAATATGTTTTTATGATCATTCAAAGAAAAAGAAGGTAGAAAACCTTATATTTCTTAAGAATCTGTAGTGGAGATACAGCTAACAGAAGGCTGTGTGCACTATTTCATTTTATTGGGACTTTTTGGGGTTATTTTATTCATTTCCAGATATGTGTGGGTAAAATTTAATCTTATCTGCAGCCACAGGACTATTCAAGAGATGCAACACTTGCTTCAGGGATACTAATTTTCTTACTATCCCTTAAGCATGCCATATGTTTTCAGCCCCACTTTGTTTGCTGCTATGTGGCTCATTCTCTGAAGTGCAATCTTTGATCTTTTCTCCATTTTAAAAATATTTCATTTACTTGTTTGTTTTTCAGGGTCCAGTGACATTCAGGGATGTGGCCATAGACTTCTCACCGGAAGAATGGGAATTCCTGGACTCAGCTCAGAGGGACTTATATAGGGATGTGATGTGGGAAAATTATAGAAACTTCATTTCACTGGGTAATGGCTACTTATTCCAAATTATATTGGCTTTCTCTACTGTCAGTTTCATGACTCTGTTTTGAGAAACTAGATAAATTTTGTCTCTCTATTCCAAAGGAATTGGTCAAGTGTTGTTAGTTTGGAAGTAGGCCCCTCCATTTCACACTTTGTCACTCCCATCCTGTTAGGTCCTTCAGACTTTCTTCAGGCTCTGTACTTACCTTAATATCCAAGGGGCAGTATTTGAATTCTGGGTTGCTAACAACAGAAGCATTGTCCAAGAAACCAGATTTCACATTGTATTTGAGCTCATAATTAATGTAGATGCTTAACATTCATTTCTAATCCACCTGCAAGGAGAATACCTAGATACAGGGGATCTGAGTCTCTCTAAAAATCAGAGCCTATAGAACTTGTATAAAAAGGGATGGATCCACAAAGTTTATTTAAAACTCAGTTAAATGGCCCTAGCCAGTTTGACTCAGTGGATAGAGAATCGGCCTCAGATGGAAGGGTCCAGGTTTGATCCTGGCAAGGGCATGTACCTCAGTTGTAGGCTCAATCCCCAGCCCTTGCCCAGGCAAGTGCGGAAGGCAACCAATTGATGTGTCCCTCTCACATCAATGTTTCTCTCTCTCTCTGTGTCTCTCCCCCTTCCTTCTACTCTCTCAAAAAAATGAATAGAAAAATATCCTCAGGTGAGAAATAACAACAACAACAAAAACCAAGTTAAAACTCAGTTAAATGTTTAAATGTATTCTGTTTCCTATAACAGACATTTAATTCTACCTACTTTGTAGTTGAAATTTAAAATTCTAAGGACTTTTTCTTGTAAAATTGAATGAATATTCTAGAAAGGATATGAGAATGTCACAGGAAGCAAAATTATAATAATAAAAGTTAATACTAGTATACACATATGTGTATATGTACATATATAACTATTCTTTTTTATTGATTTCCTAGAGGAAGGGAGAGGAAGAGAGAGATTGAAACATCAATGATGAGAGAGAATCATTGATTGGCTGCCTCCTGCACGCCCCCAACTGGGGATGAAGCCCGCAATCCAGACATGCGCCCTACTGGGAATCAAACCGTGACCTCCTGATCAATGCTCAACCACTGAGCCACACTGTTCAGGCCATATATAACTAGTCTAAATATTACACATTATTAGTTAATCCTCACAAAAACTCTATGAGAAATATATTATTTTTATCCTCATTTCAGATGAGAAAACTTTGGCACAAGAGGTAACACAGCAACAAAGGCAGTATTTGAACGCAGGCAGTCTGGATCCAGATTTTATTTTCCTAATAACTGCACAAGACTGCCTCTCAACAGAGCTTGTGTGTAAATTATGCTTAGGTCAATTCTTAACTATCTGGTGTCTATTCCTTGTGATCCTGAGGTTACCATAACATGGGTGTTCTTCAACCCCTGCATTTCTTTGCTCTTAGACTTTAAAAAATAACATTTTGGTCTAGAGTTCATTATAAATTTAACCAAATCTAAATCTAAGGACTTTTTGGCTTATTAGTTCATGTCACATTTTTCTATTAAGCAGGACATTCCATTTCTACACCAGATGTGATTACATTATTGGATGACGGGAAGGAGCCCTGGATGCTTATGAGGGAAAGGATAAGAAGACACTACCTTGGTGAGTGAGGCTTAGCAGGCATGGAAAAGTCATTACTGCAGGTAATAGCCAAGCTGGTTAGGGTAAAGGCACAAACTTTAGGTTTTGTTGAGGATATCTCTTCAAAAGCCCAAGGCTTGTGGAGTGTGGAGGAAAGGCCCGAGACCCAGGAAGCAAATTAAAATCTTTTAAGCCTAGACTAACCAAGGAACTTTCTATTGACCTTGTTACACCTCTCATATTTCTCTACCATTTCAAAGAGAAGAGCTGTTCTCAGTAGAAGAAAACAAAAGGATAAATATAAAAGCTGAAATTAACAAAATAGGAAAAATCTAGAGAAAATTAATAGAGCCAAAAGTTAATTGCTTGGAAAGATCAACAAAGTTGGTAAACAGTACACTTGACTAATAAAGAGGAAAAGACAACATAAATTACTGTCAGGAATGGAAGGGGGTTTTCAGTTCACATTTTATGGCCATTAAAAGAATAATAAGAGAATGTCATGAATAACTTTATGCTAGACAATTTGACAATTTAAATGTATTTGAAAAATTCCTTGAAAAATATAACTTACCAGAATTGACAGAAGATAAAAGAAAATATGAATAATCTTATATCTATTAAAGTAATTGAATTATCAGAAATATTTCCACAAAGAAAATGTCAGGCCCAGATGATTTCACTGGTTAATTCTATGAAATATTTAAGAAATTAAAGCAGAATTACACACATCTCTGTAGAAAAGGAAAGAACAACTTCCAACTCATTTTATGAGACCATATAACTCTTTTTTTAAACTATATATATTTTATTGATTTTTTACAGAGAGGAAGGGAGAGGGATAGAGAGTTAGAAACATCGATGAGAGAGAAATATCGATCAGCTGCCTCCTGCACACCTCCTACTGGGGATGTGCCCGCAACCAAGGTACATGCCCTTGACGGGAATCTAACCCAGGACCCTTCAGTCCACAGGCCGACGCTCTATCCACTGAGCCAAACCAGCCAGGGCGAGACCATATAACTCTTATACTATGACCTGACAAAGATATTATACACAAAAAAAGCAAATCAAATTCAGCAGATACAAAAATGATGACCAAGTAGGGTTTTTTCTAGGAACACAAGCTTGGTTTAACATTAAAAAATTAATCTCTTCCTCTTATAAAGCCACCAATCCTATCTGATTAGGACTTTATTCTTATGACTTTATTTAACCTTAACTGTATTATAAAAGCACTATCTTGAACTATAGTCACAATTGGGGTTAGGGTTTCAATGTATGAATTTGGGTAGAGAACACAATTCAGTCCATACCAATATCTATCTATATGAAATCAAATTTCTTTATAGCTTCTACTTGATTATTTGATTTATGTCTTTCATTGCCTAAAAATAGTCATTGATTTATTCAGAAAATACTTGAGTGCCCAGTCTGAACCAGGCATTGTACTATAGGCACCAGTGGAACAATTGTGAATAAAATTGATAGGTCCCAGGAGTCATGTTCCTTATATTTTTAAGAAATCTTTATTATTGAAAGTATTACATAGGTTCTCCTTTATCCCCCATTAACCTCTACCAGGGCACTCCTGTCCACCCCAACCCCAGGCCTCACCACCCCATTGTCTGTGTCCATGCATTATGCATATATGAATACAAGTTCATTGTTTGATCTCTTTTCACCTACCCTCCCCTGCCTTCCCTCTGAGGTTCAACAATCTTCATGCTTCTATGTCTCTGGGTCTATTTTTGATCATCAGTTTATTTAGTTAATTAGATTCCACATATGAGTGAAATCATGAGATACTTACTTTTCTCTGACTAGCTTATTTCACTCAGCATAAAATTCTCCAGGTTCATACATACTGTGGCAAATGGTAAGAGATCTTTCTTTTTTATTGCCGTGCATTCCATTGTGTAAATGTAACATACTTTTTTTTATCCACTCATCTGCTGATGGGCACTTAGGCTGTTTCTAAGTCTTAGCTATTGTAAATTGCACTGCTATGAGCATAGGAGTGCATATATTCTTTTTGATAGACGTTTCTGATTTCTTAGGATACATTCCTAGAAGTGGGATGACTGGGTCAAATGGGATTTTATTTTTAATTTTTTGAGGAATCTCCATATTGTTTTCCACAGTGGCTGCACCAACCTGCATTCCCACCAGCAGTGTATTAAGGTTCCCTTTTCTCCACAACCTAGCCAACACGTCATTGGTTGATTTATTGATGATAGCCATTATGACAGGTGTGAAATGATATCTCATTGTCGTTTTGATTTGCATCTCTCTGATGATTAGTGACTTTTTATTTTTTTAATCTTTATTGTTCAGATTATTACAGATGTCCCTATTTTTTTCCGCCATAGCTCCCCTCCACCCGGTTCCCACCCCACCCCAGGCCCTCGCCACCCCACTGTCTGCGTCCATAGGTACTGCATACATGCATATAAGATCTTTGTCCCATCTCTTCCCGCACCCCCCATATCTCTTTCCCCCCAAGAATTGTCAGTCCACTCCATTTCCATGCCCCTGATTCTATTACATTCACCAGTTTACTCTGTTCATCAGATTTTTTATTCATTTGATTTTTAGATTCACTTGTTGATAGATATGTATTTGTTGTCACTTTGTTATTCATAATTTTTTATCTTTATCTTTTTCTTCTTCTTCCTCTTCTTAAAGAATACCCTTCAGCATTTCATATAATACTGGTTTGGTGGTGATGAACTCCTTTAGCTTTTTCTTATCTGTGAAGCTCTTTATCTGACCTTCAATTCTGAATGATAGCTTTGCTGGGTAGAGTAATCTTGGTTGTAGGTTCTTGCTATTCATTACTTTGAATATTTCTTGCCACTCCCTTCTGGCCTGCATAATTTCTGTTGAGAAATCAGCTGACAAGCTTATGGGTACTTACTTGTAGGTGACTAACTGTTTTTCTCTTGCTGCTTTTAAGATTCTCTCTTTGTCTTTTGCCCTTGGAATTTTAATTATGATGTGTCTTGGTGTGGTCCTCTTTGGATTCCTTTTGTTTGGGGTTCTCTGTGTTTCCTGGACTTGTAAGTCTATTTCTTTCACCAGGTAGGGGAAGTTTTCTGTCATCATTTTATTTATTTATTTTTTTAGGGTTTTTATTTTTTTATTTTTTTATTAAATCTTTATTGTTCAGATTA